TTTCTTCTTATCATTTATATTTCATTCTTTTAATAAATGTGTTGAAAATAAAACATATTTTATTTTTTACTCTTGGTGTTTTCATTTTATGTTGTGAATTTAGTGGTTTATTTGAAATGAATTGTCATTTCATTGAATTTGTTATTATTCTTGATATTTAATGATTATTATATTTTGATTAAACATTATTAATTATGAAATTGAATTATTTATTTAATTGTGTTATTTTCTGTTTGTTTATTCTTCTATTTATCATTTGTTTTGATATTAGGTGTATTTTGTTTTATTATTTGATTTATTTTATCATCAAGTACAGTATATATATATATTGGAGATAGAAATAAGATTAGATGAAATTTGAATGATGTTTGAAAATGATTATAATTATTTTATTTTTAGTTGTTATTCTATTTTTATATTTATATTATCAATAACATCTTTTTCTATTTTTGTTTTTTTTTGCCTTTATTATCTTATATTCATATTTATGTTCTTTATTGTCCATTTTAACAGTAACTCCATTTTAATTTATCTCATTCTATTTTACTAATTATTTTACTATTTATATTATTTGATATTGAAGTTGATATTAATATTGAAAATAGTTCTTCTTTAGCATATATCAGTTTTAACTTATTATATATTTTAATTATTTATAATCTATTAATATGTTTTTTTACATCTCTTAGTATTTATATTGATATAAAACTTTTATATTAATAGGATATATACTCTAGAATCAACTTAGTTATATTCTATTTTATTAAAAATAGTTCATGTTTTGTTGGAATAACAAGATAAGATAAAAAATTGATAAATATGGATTCAATAAATAACCACAAAATAAATCGTTATCCTCTCAAAATATAAATATTTGGAGTGTGAAATTAATTAAAGAGGAAAGAATGAGTAATGCTTCAAATAAATAAAATATAGTTTATTATCAATAAAACATACAGAAATCAAAGAAATCAAAGACATAAACAAAAATAAGAATTATTTTATTTATAACTTTCAATTTTATTGTAATGTTTGAAGTAAAAAGTTGGAAATAATAAAAGAAAAAGTTGAGTAATCGCATTAAATGATTAAATAACAATTAATAAGTATATAGAAAATAATTCATTTGTTTTTGTTTATTTTATTCTTAAGAAATTCAAACAAAAAAAATACATAAAATAAATATCAACTAATTTAAAATAAGTTATAAAGAAATTCGATGTCTTATAAAATATCTTTATGAACATACTTTATACTGTGAGTTTACTTCATGTACCTATAATAACCAGACGTTTATACAGAGCTTAACATGACAAATACAAATTAGAAACAAAGAGGTTTATCAACATCACTTTTAGATTAAAAAGTTTTGAACCAAACTTGACAATTAAATTGTTTATAAAAAGTTATGTTATTCAAAGTAACGATGTGGAACATTTCTTTAAGTTTCAATCTAATTACTTAAATTAATTAAATTATTATTTTATTTACCTTTGTTATATTAAAAAACTAAAAAAATAGAAAAAGAACTTAAAAATTGTTTAATGAAAAGCATAATATTTGTATTCTTTATCATTTATTGTCTTGGTCAATCTGCTAAACAACTAAAAAATAAACAACGAAATTCAATTGGAAGGAACCCTGATTCATTAAGAAAAGAAAAAGGAAATAAAAAAAGTATTGGTAAAGAGAAAATTATTGAACAAAAAAAGAGTGTTCCTCAAGTGGCAATGTCGTTCAGTAGAGAAGAATTATTTGATAAAAGTCCACATGAATTATCTAATGCTTATGTAAGAATTTATCAAGCACTTGGAGAAGTAATGAGAATGAGCCATCAATATAATGTTATTGATTCTGAAAATCAACGAGGGGTTGGATATATATCACATATGCTTGGTCATATTGCACAACAATCAAATAAAGAGTTTGTTGTTTTTATGGAGTATTTAAGTTAAGTAAATTATTAAATAAATTTTATAGACTTGATTCACAAATTACATCAGTTATTTTAAATAAAATTAAGTCTCATGAAGAAGAAACTCAATCAATTCAAAGTATGACAAATGAAGTTTCTACTTATGCTCAAAGTGCTGCAAATAAAGTTGCAAAGTTCGAATTAAAAATGAAAGAAGCACAAAACATTAAATCAACTCCTACTTTCATTTATGTTATTGCATTCTTATTACAAATACTGACTGGTTATTTCATTTACATCATTATTTCCAAAAGAAAGATTCATCTTTAATTTATATTACTTTAATAATGAATTTTTTTTATTTAACTAAATTGGTAAAGATTTATTTTTTTTATTTTTCAATTTATATTTTATTATTTTATAAAATATTTGTTATATACAATATTCATAATTTCTTAATTTAATTTTCTAAGATATAATGTAATTTCTTAAAAAGTTGAATGATTTCAGTATTGTTTCAGTAATCGTAATATCTTAATTATCACTTCATGATATGAATTAAAGATATAATAATAAATAAATTAAACAAATAGATTTTAGTTTGAAGAAAGAAATTTTTTTGAACAACCAGAATAATTTTGAGAATACATTTTAATAAAACTTCTTATAGATACTCAAAATAAATTTTTAAGACAGTTATTTTTAATACCTATTGATATTAAATTGATTCTAAGTTTCATATCTAATCAATAAAAATATCTTTTAAAACTAAAATAAAAGTAAATAAAAATAGTTTTTTTATTGTTTAGATAATCAAAAATACTGATTATAATTTATGAAGAATTGCCTCAAGTTGAGGTATAATTTGCTGTGACATTTGGTGGTGCCCTTCTACACTTGGGTGGTTTCTAAATCCCCAAAATGAAGGATTATTTTTATCAATAAAAGTTTCAATATAAAACACATTCTTCATTGTATGAACAAACTCTAATGATATTTCTTTTATATATTCTTTTCCATGACCTGAAATAACAGGTCCTTCAACAATAAAGAAGAGAAGGTTTGAACCATATTCATTGAAGTATAGTTGAATTAAATCTTTCATTGCATTTTTAAAATTAAGGTCAAACACATTATCAGCTTCTATTGCATAATCATTTGTACCAATATTGAGAAAAACATATTTTGCATTCCAATCACTAATATTCCAATGACTTGCTTCATCTGTTGCAATACAACGATGAATTATAACAGGTAATTGATTAGTAGTAACATTATGATTGCTCTTTAACACTCCAATACCACTCCATGAAGTGGTCATATAATCACAATGAAGATAATTTGCAATATCTACACACCAAGTTTGTGAACTATCAGTTTCAAATTCAGAATTTTGTCCAATGTTTCCATACCCACAAGTAAGAGAATCTCCAATAAACTCAATATGTGGTAGTTTTTCTTTATGAATAGTCTCAATACTTCCAGTTATAATACCAACAATATCAACTTTACTCGAACGTGCCTCAGTAACTTTAGTTAACTGAATAACTTTATTTCCTGGTAATTCAAGAGTAGTGTATTTACTTTCGAATGGGTTCATAGGAATTACTTGAGTAAAAGTATTATCATCTACTCTAATTTTTAATCTTACAAATCCAGTGAGATAAATTAATAGTGTGGTTTGTTGAATTGTCTTAAATAATATTCCTGTGTTGCAAAAATCAAAAATTACATGACCGTCTTTAACTAAGACCCTTCCATTTTTATAAATTTGATGTTCTTGAATACCAACGACTGAAGGTACATTAATAACTTCTTTAAGTTGTATTTCTAAAAAGTAAATAATAATTAACTATGTAATAAAAAGCAGAAATTTAAAGTTACCAAACGCTCCATTATGATAAATCTGAGATTTTTAAGAAAAAAAACAAAAAGCAATTATTCAAAAATTAAAATCATTTTATTATAATAATATATCTTTGATTTGTACCTCCATATATTTAATTGAAAAAAGTCTTTAAAACTATGTCATTGATTGTTTTTAAAATAATTAAATATATTAAGGCAGACTTACTAATTTAAAGATGTGTTAGATTATACCCATTTTACAATAAGCATTTGTTCAATTTTTTCTCTAATATAATTTGGATTACTTACAAAAGCATCAAGATATTCACCTTCTGGAGGAACAGTCTCATATACCAAACTATTCCATTTTCCATCATCAGATTTGAAATTTAAATCTAATGTTGCTGTGATAGAAAATTCAAAATATGCCGTAAGAATATTGTTATAATAGTTTTTACTAAAGTCATAACATTTATTAGTAAAGTTCACTAACTCTATAAAATATTTTTTTTGCTATCCTTTATAAATTGATAAGTCTTAAATGTATTATCACAATTCAATCCATTATCAATTTGAGGTTTTTGACTTGAGAATGAAGCAACATAAATGTGTTTTGAAAGAATAAATAGAAACGTATCTTCATTTTGAATTGCTTCAATTATTTGCTTTCTAACATTTCTTGATTCAATTATTTGATTTGTTGGTGAGTAATAAAATAATTCTTGTGGCATTTTGTGAAAAACTCATTCATTAAGTCTTTTCATATAACCAAATGTTGTTGACTTAAATGAATTTTTTAGATTTTGTATTGAAATATCTCGAGTAGTTAGACAGTGGTTATAGAACTCCAGATTAATACTTGGCTCTTCATTTTCACTACTAGTTAATTCATTTTCACTACTCATTAAGTTTATCATTGCTAGTACTTGAAACATCAATAATACTTTGATTTAAATCCTTTTCTATAGCAATATACTTCGAACGAGTGTTAGTCAGCTCACCTTCTTCTGAAAAATTAGTTTCATTAAAAGATGTTGTAGAATGGGACTTTTGTGACTAAATACTTTTTATCACAAAAACCATTTGAAAAAGAACTTCTAACACAAAATCAAACATCTTTTTGGTTAGAACTTCACTACGAGTCACAAAATTCATTCCAAATTTTTCCATTAATTTGTGAATGGTATTGAGATTGTTTAAAATAGTGTTTATTTCTATGTTTTCCTCACAATAATTACAAAAAAAAATTCTCTTAATGGCGTGTTTTCTTTGTTTAGTAAGTTCTCTTTCAGAACTCTCTTTTGAACATCTAAGCCGTAATCGTATATTGGAATATTTTGTTATCCAGCTGAGTTGTACATTCTATCAGAATCATTAGAGATCATATAATCTGAGTAATAATTCTCTGTCATTTTTTGAAAAGTTTCACTAATGTGTTTTGTCTCTGTTTGTAGTATTGAGAAAGAGGTTAGATACATTAATAATTAAATGACACCTATCAAATCTTTAAATATAAAACTTTCATTTTACAAAAAATAAAAAGAAAAAAATAAAAAAAGTGAACAAGAAATGATG